CCAGTCTGGCCCCCAAGGATGAGTCGAAGGGCGAACACGTCGTCCTCGTGAACCAGACAAAAGAAGAGGCAGAAAAAGGATCCCCACCTTCACAAAAAATCACAGCAAAACACGTGCTCCTTGCAACCGGTGCGTGCGCTCGGCTTCCAAACAGTGCATGAAATATCCTCAATGAGGTTACCCAATGAAATATGTTCTTGCTCCCACCGCTCTGTGTTTTTCTTTATGACGCTCGAACGGCACAAACAGCCACATTCGGTTCGTGTGTACGACTTGACTTCCCCTTCTCCCTTCTACTACTGCTTAGTGGCGCGTGCGTGGGGGGAGCCGCTTCTGTGTGTATTCCAGGCGGGCACCCTACTCCGCTATCCATCCCTGGGGGCTCTCTGTGTACGGACAGCGACGGCTTTTTCGGCTTGAAGCATCAACCGAAGCGCGTGGGTGTCGTTGGAGCGGGGTACATAGCAGTGGAGCTCTGCGGGGTTCTGCAAGCGCTGGGGACGGAAACCCATTTGTTCACGCGACACTCCCGCGCCCTCCGCAAGTTCGACGTCATGATTCAAGAACAAAACCACAAAAACATGCAAAAGCTCGGGATACAGGTAGGCGCAAACGCCGGTGTACAGACACCTGAAGCTCGCCAAGCTACCAAGCAACCACGCCCGTCTTCACACTCGCAGCAGTTCAACATTTCAACATCTTGCTGCCCCTTCTTGACCCCAGCAGGGTGCATATGCAGACTGACAGTAGCCGTGCATCCAGGACACTCTGCTTTTGTTTTGACTGCTGGGCATTGGGGTGCATGTGGACAAGCAGCACAGGGATCATATCAACAGCTGCAGCAGCAGCTGCTGCTGCTGCTGCTGCTGCTGCAGTGTATCCTTCTGCTGGCACGTGTGTATCCTGTGTATCGTCTAGAGTGTCTGTACACCGTAGCTGTTGCATGCGACCTCAGGTATTCCCCAATAGCATTCCTGCTGAAATAGTGAAGAGGGATGAATCTCTACATTTGCATTTGGAGGGTGGCGCCCGCCACGGCCCCTTCGACTGTATCATCAACGCCATTGGACGTACACCCGAAACTGCACAGCTGGGGTTAGAGGCGTTGGGAGTTGAAATGAACGGCAAATATATAAAAGTCGATGAATTTCAGAATACAAATATTTCAGGGCTATTTGCTTTGGGGGACTGCTGTGGAAAGGCAAGCACAGAGCACCTCTTTCTCACCAAACAAACAACAGATATGCATGCATGCATGCATGCATGCATGCATGCATGCAGTGTAGTAGGAGATAATCTATTACTATGTTGCGTAGTACACGATCTACACACGTATGAAGAGAACATTAAGTGCAGGTTACACGAAGTGCAGAAAGGCTGTCGTTGGTGGATGTATGGCCCCTCTGTGGGGATGTACGGCTTAGGATTTAGGGTTTAGGGTTTAGGGTTTAGGGTTTAGGGTTTGGTGTTTGTGGTAGGTGGAGTTGACGCCAATGGCCATAGCTGCAGGTCGCCGTCTGGCTGACCGGCTGTATGGACAGCTGCCGCAGGCGAAAGCAGACTACGACTTCGTTCCCTCTGTTATTTTTTCTCATCCTCCTATTGCTTCTGTTGGGCTCACCGAAGAGCAGGCGGTGCAGCAGTACGGCACGGACGACATCAAGGTGCTAATAAACCCTAAACCCTAAACCCTAAACCCTAAACCCTAAGCAAAACCCCTCGCAGCCACAATGCTCCTCTGGAAAGAAACCCTAAACTCAGCAGCGAGGGGCAACGCTTCTCACAGGCAGAAGCATCCAGGAACAAATGCTGCTGCTGCTGCTGCTGCTGCTGCTGCTGCTGCTGCTGTTTCTGGTGCTTCTGCTGTTTCTATTGCTGTTGCTGCACCGAGTATATTGCTGCATATGGCGGCGCACCTTGTGGTTTGCTGCTGCACGTGCTTGTGCTGCTGCTGCAACTGTGGCGTTGCTTCTTTGTTGCTGTGGTGCTGCTGCTGTCAGGTGTATGAGGGGAGCTGTGTTAATTTGCTTTACGGGCCGTACCCCATACCCCCCGAGGAGAAGCCGAAGACAGTAATTAAACTCATCTGCAGAAAGGCAAGCACAGCGCTAG